GTATATACATGGTACTCCTACAGCAGTGTTTCCCAAACTTGGGACACCGCTTGTGTAGGGAAAGGCCCTGGCGGGCCAGGACGGTTTGCGTACCTGCCGCGTCCACAGGTCCGACCGATCGCAGCTCCCATTGGCCTGGAGTGGCAAACCACGGCCACTGGGAGCCACGATCGGCCGGACCTGCGGACGCGGCAGGTACACAAACCGGCCCGGCCCACCAGGGGCTTTCCCTACATAAGCAGCGTCCCAAGTTTGGGAAACACTGTCCTAGAGGAACATTGTTCTTCTACGCAGCACTGTTCACAGCCAAAGATCAAATAAGAGTCCCAACATCTGTGAACTGCTGAGATTCTTCAGTACAATGATTGTGGTTAGAAGAAGGGGTAGGAATTAATTTGAGGGATGAGGTTAACAGTCTTGCCTCCTTTTCAAAGCACTATTTTTGTGGAATTTCTCCATACATGTATGCTTCTATTTTTTGTCCTCTTATGTACCACTCCTTTAAAAATACTTCAATCATTTTTGCAAGCCATGGAATGTGGTGGAAAAGATAGAAATGCATGTTTATGTAATCTCTGGATTTTGTTTTAATCACATCTTCATGAAGTAGGTGTTAAATTACACTAGAGCCCTACACTGTTTCAAAGACAGACACTTCTTAAAAAATGCTGCTTAATTTGCTTCATTTCTCCAGAACATACACCTCTATTCTTATGAATTACCAGGTATCCTTAGACTTCTACAATAATCTCTTTGGTTGTGAAACAGTTCAATCACCTTCAACGGAGGTATTTTAAAAAAAAAAAATCATTTCAGCATTTCATCTCTCTTAAAACTCCCAGAAATATCAACATTGATGATAGCTGCAAAGAATGTGTACTATGGTTAATCTGAAAAGAAAAGGTCATCACCTGCACTCACTACAATGCAACACTGTTGCCTAGGAAATTGAATTAGTTGCCTTTTACCCTATGGTATACCTCCATACAAAGATTACTAATGTGCAATTCAGGTCATATTAAAATGCCTGTGTTCTAACTACTGTACTTACTGACCTTGGCTAAACCTAATTTATGGGATATAGGTAGCTCATAAAGCTATATAGGTAACCAGGCATTTGTTTTGCTTTCACTCCTCAACAAAACCCTTGTTTATTCTTAAGTGAGCAAATGCCTTAAATGACAGTTATTCCCCTTGCCCCACCCATAAAGAGCTACATTCCAATGTAACTGCACAGGCCCATGTTTTGACATGTTATGCTTGGGTAATGTGTTAGCTCAGTTATTACTGGGAGTGTAAGTATCATGCATAGGAACATTCCAATCTTTCAAAAAGACAAGACATGAAGTGAGAAAATGCAGGATTTTTTTTTTTCCCGGGCATGCGACAAACCCTTCAATTTCTTATTAAAGAAAATAATATATACCAAAAAAGCAAACTGAAATTTCCAGTTGGGGTAAGGTGGATTTAAAAAATATCCAACACCATTATATAAAAAAGGTAGCAATTTAATCTCAGAATAATGGGACAGAATGGTGCTTAATATAATAAGTGATCATACTTGAGTACATTCAAACTGACACTTTTTTCGACTAAGAATGGCAAACCACAAAGACTACTTCCTGGAGTATATAAATGAAGAAAAAGGAGATGGAGAAGTTAATGGTTTGCATCAGCATTTTCAATTTTCAAAGTAATATTTAAGAGTTGATTGGAAAAGCGCTCTCCATCTCTAATCTGTAAGTATGATTAGATCCAGCAAAATCAGATTAAAAGAGGTATATTAGAGAATATATACATTTTCTAAGAAAAAGATTCAGCCATCTTGTCTTCTATTTGGAGATCTTATGCTCCCCTCTCTCCCTTAACATTCTCCTGTCTAGTAACAGGAGCACTCCCTCACCCGCCCCATATCACACTACCAGCCTGAAGTGTAAATCTGCAATACACAACTGGCCACCACCCCACATCATTAACTATGACCATAATAGGCAGTGCCATATCTGTTAAAATGTTACAGCTTTAGTTGGCAAAGAACCATAATTTTGATTCTTTGCCACTGCTTGACCATGGGAGCTTTGGGTTCAGCACAAAGTTTATAGGATAATTTCCTAGTCCTACACCCTCTCAAGTAAGCACTACTGCTATTCATAGAGCCAAGATATGGATTGGAAATATTTTCTTCTAGAACCCAGACTGTTTAAACACAGTATGGTACACCCAAGAGAGCGTTATTTGACTAGTTCAGGCTTAGTTATGCACAAGTGTGCAAGAAGTTTTTAACACTGAATATACAGTGCAACAACATAGCAGTGTTTTACAGAGAGATGGCTGAAAAGAGAAACTACTAGGGTAATGTAATCCATATCTCTTTCCTTCTACATTAACAACCACAGAAGTGATTTTGCACATGGATGGACTGGAGAAAAACTGGCTCTTAGTTAAACTTATTTCTCATCAACCTGGCATATAAACAGTGAATACACATGAAAAGCAAAAGTTCTGTCCTCCCCTGGCATTCCCATGGTTCCCCCAGAGCAGATCTCACATGGCAATTTAAGGCCTGGTCTACACTAAGTAGAAGCAGTTTAACTGAAGCTGCAATTAAGTGGAATTAAACAGGTGAAAGTTGAGTTTAGACAAGTTCAACTTGGATAAAATGCACTACAGGTGGGCTGGGGAAACTTACTGGTTTATCAGCATCTACTTATGCAGTTTGCACGGAGCAGATACGCAGGGTTCACAGCTTAGGGTAGAATGACATTGTTTTTATTTCAACATCAACACAGTAAAATATTTAAATTGTAAGCTCTTCTGAGCAAAGACTTGACTTATATATCTGTTCAACTGTGTACACCAAGAGTACTATATTTTATTAAAGCCCAGGTTTAATCCTGAGATGATGGAAAGCAAGGCCTTCTCCAATGAAGATTTATTGCAGAACTCCAGAACACTCCCTAAACATAAGACAAATATATCTGTGACATCTTTCAGGACAAGTTGCAAGATTTAGTAGTTTCTTACATTAGCATGTTTCAGAGTAGCAGCCGTGTTAGTCTGTATCCGCAAAAAGAAGAACAGGAGTACTTGTGGCACCTTAGAGACTAACAAATTTATTAGAGCATTAATTATTAGAGCTTATGCTCTAATAAATTTGTTAGTCTCTAAGGTGCCACAAGTACTCCTGTTCTTCTTTTTACATTAGCATGTTTGTTGTCTTATTGTATGATGGAAGGTGTTCGTGCTCTAGGATTTAGAAAGCTGCCTTATTTTTATCACGTTTTCAATTATATTTTAAAGCTCCCAGATGCCTGTACTTATAGGCATATACAAATTAATATTTATACTATTTACTGCTCTGCATTGTCAAAATCAGCACCGAGCTCAAAGTCTTAGCGCAACACTTGAGCGCCTCACCTTCTAGCCCAGAGGTGAGAGCTACCAAGTAAGCTAAACTGACATTCAATGTAAATCAGGGTTTAAAAAAGGATTAAAGTTCTGGCAGGAACCTTATGGAGTAATATGCTGCTCACTGCCATTGATTTTGCTTGAAAAGCGATTTAATAAAAAAAAGGTTTTCTGCATAGATGGAAGTAAAAATAATACAAGGCAAGTAATCCAACAAATTATTTATAATGTTATGAACTCTCCATGAAATTATCTTCCTTCACTATGTTTCTGCTAAAATGACCAGTAGAGAAATGGTTCTGATATTTAAATACAGTATCAACGTTAACTAAGTTTCAAAGTCAGCAACCCAATGAGTTGAACAGGGTAGTCAGTTCAGACCTCTCAGAATTTTACAGACTTAGGCAGATGTCACTGCACCCATTTGCAATCAATAAATGTTTGGAATTTGTTAAGGGTTTTTGCTTTTTTGGTTTTTGGGGAGGGGGGGGGGAAAAAGGTTGTTTGTTTGTTTTTTTTTAAGAAACCTTAAATCCTACAGCACAATTCTACTGCAGGAGATGGATTATGTAGCAAATTCTGTGTCGGCAGAATCATGTTATATATACATGGAACCCTGGTTAAGACATTTTACAAATAGAAACTGCAATTTATTAATACAATTTTAAAGTAATACAATCAAGTTGTCACAATTTTAGATAATGGAGAACAGTAAGCAACTATGTAGCAAGAAATCAATGAGAAAAAATTCTTGGAATCTTGAAGAATCACAATATAGCGGTCTTAAAATATGAAGGTAAAGTACATACATAATATTGACAAGTTAATGTAAGTATCTGTAAGTCAAACCCTAATGGGGCATATAGGCCCTCATCCTGCAGATACACTCGCACTAAAAAGCATGTGTGTTTACCTGATTAGGGTCATAGTTACTACCAAAAGTTCTCCGCCATGTTTCAGATATAGTTGCTAAAATAAGAATGTTTACTAAGAAAACAGCACTTTTCCTACATTTTTCTTTGAAGGAAAAGGAGAATTGACTAGTACTTCACTCACCAGTTGGTACATAGGATTTAAAGTGTCCTGATAGTCTGTCAACAAAGGCACCTAGGACATCTAATCCAACTAACGCCACCTGTAAAAATAAAAGAAAGTATTAGATGTATATAGTGCGTCACTAGACAGTTCTTTAAAATATATTCTAATCTGTCTATAAATACCTGGACTGGCTACTGATGTAATCACCCATATTGAACCATTAGATCAATATTCAAATTAGAGAGCTGACAATTATTTTCTAAAGGTTTTATACAAAAAGTGAATAATTTTATACAATATTTAGGGTTCATCTAGTATGTTTACATAATATGATGCACTTTGGATTTTTCAGTACCTTTTGCATTCTTCAGTCAAAAGGGAGCAATTTTTAGGAATGCAACATTTTCATATTCTCATCTATAATGGATTTGTCTAATTTTTGCATTTGTAATTGACCATGATTTACTTAAAATTCATTTGCTAAAGGAATAACAGATACATCAATTATGTTTCCACATCTGCTACTGACTGTAAGATTCCTAGCCCTATGATCACTGTAGGTCACGTGACCTCTGGACTAAGGAGGTCATTTTTAAAGGCATTCTGGCCAGCTGTCTAGGCATTTCACTATGCAGTTGAAAGCACATGTGGACATTCTATCTTTAACCATGAAGATCACTTAGTAATATCTTGTTGTACTTGCCAGAACTTTCAAATACTTTTAAGCTTATTTCTATTCTATACCTTATTTCCAATCTTAAAATTAATCACACAATTAAAAAAAATTAATAGTGATTAATCATGTGATTAAAAAAAATTAGCCAAACACTTAAGTATGCCAGGAATAAGGTAAAGCATTAAAATTATAAAATAATTCTCTAACAATCACTTTGCTTCAGCTTCACTGAAGAGAGTAGGATCAAAACTAATTATCCCTCACAATGTCTGATGGAATTCAGTGGTTAACTGTTTTGAGTTATTTAAGAGTTACTGGCCTATCCTGATGACTATTTTTGAAGAAATTCTCTATAAAGTAGCTGGAAGTTTCAGAGTGTGACACACTATCCCAAAGCAACACCCTGGCATCACTATATTCACCGTTGTCATATAATTGTGATGTTTTGTAAAAAGTATACCTTGTGAGGTATCATTTTAAAAGTCTTGATCTGTTGAACATGAATATTCTGTTGGACTGTATGTGCCATCATTGTATGTGACGTTATGAAGTTTTGCTGCGTGTATGTTACTGAAATATGTTGTAATATTGGAAAACACCCACAACCAGGCTTTCAAGTACAACAATGGAGAAGCCAGACAGCACTGATGGCCAAATAAGGGGAATTCACACTACCTAGGACTATCTGAGGACCGGTATACAAAGAAAATTTCTCAGAGGGAACACAGACAATGGACACCGCTTGACTCACATCACAACAAAAGATTTTTCGAGCAAGCTGGAAGAACCTATAAAGAAGGAGAAGCGATATCATTTGGCCTCTCTCCTCCCGCAACTCCACACCTGGAAGGCACATCTGGTGGACAAAGATTTGGAATGGCAGAGGTGGTGCCAGACTTGAAAGGAGAATCCTAGCTTGTATTAAGGCACTATACCAGGGGTAGGCAACCTGCGGTACGCGAGCTGATTTTCAGTGGCATTCACACTGCCCGGGTCCTGGCCACCAGACCGGGGGGGCTCTGCATTTTAATTTAATTTTAAATGAAACTTCTTAAATCTTTTAAAACCTTATTTACTTTACATACAACAATAGTTTAGTTATATATTAAAGACTTATAGAAAGAGACCTTGTAAAATTGTTAAAATGTATTACTGGCATGCGAAATCTTAAATTAGAGTGAATAAATGAAGACTCGGCACATCACTTCTGAAAGGCTGCCAAGCCCTGCACTATACCATCAGGGTGAGACATTCCTTGATTCAAATCCTGTCTCGTTTATAGAACTCAGATTGCAATCTTACTTTTATTTCTTAGGTAACCAACTGATCTTTCTGTAGTTAATAAATCTGTTTTATATTTTACCTAAAACAATGTGTTTTGGTTGAAGTGCTTGGGAAATCTGTGTAGCATACAAAAGCTGGTGCATGTCCTCTCCACATTGAGGGATGGGCAGATTAAGTAATAAACGTACACTGGTCAGGCTTCTGACCAGGGCAAGATGATCCTGGGCTGGGGAGCTGTGGGAAGTCGCTGGAGTGTCTCTATTGTTGATTCATGAGTGGGTAGGAGAAGCATTCATGTAACTTAGCTGGGTGTATCCCTGCCTGTGGATGGCTGTGTAAGTGCAGTTGCTGGAGAGGTTTGCAGCTTGTCACAACATCACAGTGTGAGAGAGAGCCCAGGTTGGTACACCAGAGGGCTCAGCAGTACCCCAGTTTCAGATTGCACCCTGGGGAACCCATCACACACAGCAAAAGTAGTCAACATCGGACTTAAGTGAAATGTAGAAGATAAGCTTAATATACTGAAACCTGTTTCCAAAGCTTTGGACAATCTGCAGAAATATAGCTGGTGCCATTGAAATTTGGAAAGAATTTTAAGCAACACTGCAGGAAGAAACAGTCAGTGAAGCTAAATTGCAAGCAGTGAAGAAGCAAATGGAACAAGCACTTACCCACCTCATTTTCTTGCCAATATCCGCAACACAAATTACCAGGATAGATGCCTAATTGCTGAAGAGGAAGATGCTATTGTAACATGGACATCTACAATCATCCATCAATCATATCAGCCATAACCATTGTCAAGGTTGGAGTTGAACCATTCAAAAGGTATGTTTGCTGCTGAAGTTTTAAGAAGTCAAGGCACTGAACTGGTGTAAGTAATTTGTTAAGCACCTGGAACCACTAAACAAGCCTTTGACAGCAGTAGTCTTCTGCAGGTGCAAAGAAAACACTGTCCTGGACATGTAATAGTCAAGATGTAAGGGATGTGGTTTTATTAGGTTGCATCTTTATTAATTTAACTATTCTGGGAACTATCCAGCAATAATTCACACAGTGTGGGTCATGATTCCTTTCTAATTGTTTCCAGCTGGTGAAGAGCTGCTGTCAGCCCACACACACACACAAAACTGGTCCCCAACCTGTTGCTTGAACCCAAAACACCATCCCCTAATATGATGGTTAAGAGGCAAGAGAAAGGGGGGAGTCTCTTCAGAGCACCAGATGTTAGGAGCACCAAATCCATTACACTGCCTCTTTGCAGGATGCCTTCCACTATAGTCCACTTCCAATTTATCAAGAAACCAGACCCCCCCATGAAATCAGTACCTGCACTGGACAACTCACATGTGCTAAACTATGACAACACTAACATTATCTCCTGATGTACACCAAAGGGTCACTGAGCTCCTGCGAGGAAGGTGAAAACCAGCCATCCATGCTAATCTGGCAGTGAGAAAAACTTCTCGCCAATCCAAAAAAGGAAACTAGCACGTCCTCACCAGACCAAAAAACCATGGTGGGTGCTGCTAATTTAGGTGTGACATTGGTTTAAGGTGGAGGAACAGAGTTTATGCACTTTCGCCCATGCAGACAGGGGGCCAATGGCTTACATGAGTCCCACCAGCCTACCCACCTAGTCAGATAATTACTTCCTACCCTAACCATCCCTAGTCTGCAGCCACACCCAAGAGGGTGACCCCCTAAAGGGGCCACTATATTTCTTTCCCACCAGCTAAGACTTTTCTGCTTTGGAGCAAAATGTTCTGACCTTCAGCTCACAGCTTCTTGTGGTGGACATCATCCAGCTACCATGCCGGCTATCCAACTTGATCTGAACATTGTTCTGTGAGACACAGGCAGGGTGGATAAGATGAAGGGGGCTGTATTGAAATGATCATCAGATCTGAATACCATAACTACCTAGCCTGTGTTAGGGCTATAATCATAATCTTCAGTCCTGTGTTTCGTAATAGCTTCCTCAGAACCCTCTGTATCATGGAGATTGGTGGAAAGGCATACAATAAGCTTAGATGTCTGAGGGAAGAGAAGATGTCTGCCAGGGAGCCTGGACTTGCACACCCTGTGAAATAAAATGTTACACTTGTTCTGGTCTGCAAGGCAAAGAGGTCTATTGATATACATCTCCACTTATGAAACATGTTCTGCAGGACTGTCTTTGAGGGTCACTCATGGTTGCCTGAGAACTGCCTGCTGAGCTGATCTGCCAACATATTCTGAAGACTGGGAAGGTGCAGAGCCACTGGTGTGATCTAATTCAGAATGCACCAATCCCAAAGTCAAAATGGCCTCCTAACAAAGCAGAGACAATCTTGCTGTCTCATCTTTTGGCATAATGCCTTGCAGTGATGATGTTACGTGGATCTGTGGAGTTCAGATGGGAATGCTTTGTATGCCAGGTGGATGGCTTTGAGCTGTAGGTGGATAATAAGGAGAGAGGACCTATGGTTACTTTATGAATCTTGAGTTTGAAGGTGATCTAGATGAACTCCCTATCCTAAATGAAAGTGTGCGTCACCGGCATCTTAGTAAGTACAGGTACTCCATTCCACACTTGAAGAGGGTCTTTCCACCAGTTTTATGAGGAGTTCTTCCTGGTCTGTGAATATCATTGTCCATGTGATGCCTGCTGGATAGACACATGAGTTCAACTGCTTCTGCATGGAACATAGGTGAAGTCTGGCAAATCACATCACATAGGTGTATAAGACCATGCATCCCAAGAGTCTGAGGCATGTTCGCACTAGTGTCTTGGGGTAATCTAAGTTGGTTGATGAGGCTCACTATCATTTGGAATCTTTCTTATGGTAAACTCACTGATCTGGAATCTAACACTGCTCCAATGAACTATGCTTTGAATCAGAGTAAGCATGAACATCTCTGATTTTAAGGCCCAGGACAGTGAGGAGTTGTAAGAGTTCTTGGATCAAGTTGGTGTAGACAAATCTCTGCATTAAGCATCTTCACATAACTTTCATATGACTTTGTATTATGCCTCTATTTTCATACAACTTTGTATCAGATCCTTATATGAAAACTTTTTATTGAGCCTTGGTATAATGTTAAAAAAAATGTATTTTTGCTAGGAGTAGAATAAGACCTCCCCCACCCCCACC